TATTGCATGAGTTCCTTGTTTTTTAATGCAGCATAGTATTCCATTGTGCGAATATACCACAGCTTCTCTAGCCATTCGTTTGTTGATGGGTTGTTTTGTTTTTGTTAAAGAAATTTTTATACTTGTTTGCTTACAAATTTGTATACACTGTTTTCCACACCAGATCTTTTCCATTTTCTTTACCCACCCCTCAAGTTGTATAACCCTTTGATTACCCCCTCACCTATCCTCACCCCTCTGCTCCTCCCCCCTTGGAATCCTCATCCCCATTTTATTAGTTATCTTTGTATTTCTACAGTAATGGTCTTATACAATATTTGTCCTTTGGGGATTGAGTTAATTCACTTAGCATAGTGCTCTCCAGTCCTTCCCAACTTATGTAGTAATTTTCAAAATCATTTCTCCTGTGTGCTATGTAGTATTCCATCATGTAAATATACCACAATTTCTCAATTGTGGTTCAGCATTTGGGCTGTTTCCATGATCTTGCAATGGTGAGTAATGCTGCTATAAACACTGGTATACAAATCTCCATTTGTGTTTTATTTCTAATTTTCTTGGGGTATATTCCAAACAGTAGAATAGCTGAGTCATAGGGAATCTCTATGATCAGCTTTTTGAGGAAGCGCCAAACTGCCTTCCAGAGTGGTTGTACCATTTTACAATACCACCAACAAGTTATAAGAGTTCCTATCTCTCTACATCCTCTCCAACATTTATTACTTACTCTCCTGTATTTTAACATTATTGTTCATATCACATTCAAACAAAATCTTGCTGAAGATTATTTTAAGACTGCCAGATCCAAACTGGGCTTAGAAGAGGCGGTGACACCAGGAATATCATTGACCACGTCAGAGAGATCTTTGGTGAAAGCACAGAATACCAGACGGATGTCTGTCTGTGTTTTTAGTGGCCATGCAAAGGCATTTGACTATGTGAATTATAACAAATTATGGTTAGCATTGAGAAAAATGGGACTCCCATGCTCTTGTGAAACCTAGTTCTATACCAAGAAGCTGTAGTCTGAATAGAGAAAGGGAACACTGCATGGTTTAAAATCAAGAAAGTTGTGCACCAGCATTATATCTTTTCTTTATACCTGTTCAATCTGTATGCTAAGCAAATAATTCAGGAAGTTGGATTAATAGGATGTCTTTTGTTTGTTTTTGTTTTGGGTTGTTGTTTTTTTTAATTTGTTGTGTGCCATCGAATCGGAGCTGACTGGCACAGGAGGAGATTGCCCCTCCTTCAGCAGAGCATCTGTGGATTTGAACCATGTGCCTCCAGGATTGCAGCACAGCTTCTTGCCACTAGGCCACCAGAGCTCCCAACTAGAGGATACCTTTGAGTTGTGTTGGAAAAGAGTGCTGAATACCCATGGACTGCCAAAAGAGTAAATAAATATGTCTTGGAGAAAGCAGGGTATTCTTTAGAGGCAAGGAAGCTTCACCTCACATACTTGACATGTGTTATTAGGAGGGGCCAAGCCTTCATGGAAATATCAGCCATAGAGAGGAAGACACTTTAGAGAGATTGACACAGTAACTATAACAATAGACTTAAATATATCAGAGATGGTGAGGATGGCACAGTCTAGGGCAAAATTCAGATCTGTTGTTCATGGGGTCACTGTGAATCATAGTGGATTCGATAACTTGTAACAATAACTCAGCCTAGTTGGTGGAGATGGGAGGACGTATCAAATTTGGTACACTGTCCTCCCACTCCCAAAGGCACGGGTTCAAGGTCACCAGCTGCTCTGTGGGGGAAGGATGGACAATCTCCTCCCATGCAATTACTGCCTCTGAAAACCCAACAGAGGGTCAGCTATGGGTCAGTTCTGATTCTATGATACTCTACAAAAACATCCTCCGACCCCAGCCTAAGGCATTTTAAAAGAGCTTGAATTCTCTGCTGCTCAGAACTGTCAGATCCATGCCAGTTTTGAGCTCTGCCCTGTCTCTAGGAATTTGGCGTTTTCTTGGATCCACAACACTTTGGATTTCAGTAGATCCAGATTATTGTCTCATATTTGGCCACTTTCATCCTAGGTCAATCACTTCTATCCGGAGTGAACTGATTCCATATTTGGTGAGAAAACAGTTCTCCTCAGCTTCCGCACAACAAAGGCAAGAAGAAAAAGAGGAAGATCTAAAGAAAAAAGAACAGAAGTCCTTAGGTGAGTACTTGAATTAATGTTGTTAGGAGGGCAGTGGTATTAGTGCCTCTGGAAAGCGTGGTTATTGTCTCAAGTCAGTGCACTCTTATCTAGCCTACTGGGTGGAGGCTAACTTCCATGGCTTTGGTAAAGCTTATTTACTTAAGCAAAGCCTTTCACTGTGTTCTTCAAGAACAGGCTAATCTTCCCTCTGACATCTCTTTCTGGTTCACACTACAACATTTTGACTTTAAACTTGGCCTGACATTTGTAAGTTCTCCAGGCTCCAGGCAGTCCCACTCCTAAGTAGATTCATACCCTTCTGTGAAGGGAAAAGTGAAAGAGTATATAGTTACCCTCCAACCTAAAGCCAACCAGACTTTCCACTCCAGGATACAGATCTCTTGAACAAGGTCTGTCTTGTTTTTTCTCATATCCCTAGCCTGTGGCTCAGTTTCTGTCTCATAGCAGATGTTTAAAAATATTATTTATCAAATTAATAAATAGAGATAGTATAGCATGATGGTTGAGATTGCAGAAGTTAGCATCGGGCAAACCTAAGTTTATCTACCCAGGCCTTAGGTGGATTCCTTAGTTTTTCTGAATCCCAATTTTCTTAGTATACAATATAGAATCTCAAAGCATTATTGTAAGAGTTAAAAACCTGGGGCTCAGATACCCTGTACTCTTTCTGTCATAACACAGCTACTTGACATAGTAATAGAGACTAGAAACACAATGTCAACATGGCTTGTGTTATTTAATGATTTTACAAAAATTTTATATTTTATTTTCCCTAGGAGTACTTGTCTTTGGATTAAACTTGTTGAGTTGTTTTGTTTTGTTTTTTAATCAAAAGCTATTTCAGACATTCAGGAAAACACATTACCTTTTTTAACTGGACCTTTTGGGTTTTAATGGATTTCCCCAGGGTTCAAGTTGCATGGGTGAATTGCAATGGGAGAAATGCAAGCTGAACTCTCTTCTTGACTGAACATATAGGCTCTGTCATCTCTCTAACGCATGGCTTGGTTTGGGTGTTTATTCTAAAGATATTTACAGTTTTATAAAAGAAGCCAATACACCAACCTTTGCTTCATATAATGTCTGCTGGAATGCCTGTCGAGGAGACAGATGGGAAGATTTGTCCAGGTCACAGGTGCGCTGCTATGTCCACATCATGAAAGAGGGCCTCTGCTCCCGAGTGAGCACCCTGGGACACTACATGGAAGCAAACAGACAGGTAAGAATAGAAGACAAATCATTGAAACTTCTGCCCCAGCAATAAACTGAGCCTTTTGTCTTACTTCTTCACTAAGTCTACAGTGATTTGTTCAAAATCCTTCTCATTCTCACAGTTGAACAATGTCAGTATGTCAGGATAGACCACTGAAGCAAAAAAGGGAAAGGGTCAGACCTGGTCCCCAAAAGCAGGGTCTCACTGTCTCCAAGGGATGATTAGGTGTTTGTGAATGCTAACTGCTGATGTCTGGGTTCAGCAGGTTTCTCCTGTTCTGCTTGTCCTTGGGTATCTACAGTACTTAGTGGCAGACAAACTTAGAAATGCTGTATAATCATTACTGTGCTGAGTTCAACACAGACACACAGAATAAACTTAGAAGTTGAAATGGAATTGACTCTTGGAAGATAAGGAGGACCTAGTCAGGCCAAGAAAGAGTAAGAAAATGTTCTGCATGAAGAGAATAGCATTAGCAAAGAGAAAGCAGGAATCATTCTGAAACCTACAGAAGTACTTACTTGAATAGACATGAGAAAAAAGGGCTGGCAGAAAACGAAGCGGTACCAGGAGTAAAGGTAAACCATATCACAAAGAGCATTGCATGCTACTTTAAGGAAATTACTGATTTTACCCTGTAGTTAAAGGAGTGTGTTTGAAGACCTTTAAAGCAGAAAAACTACTTAAGAAACTTTCCCAACAATCCAGGAGAGAAGCGATCATAGCCATGTATGTTATGGAACTGGAGAGGATAAAAAGCTAAAAATGTCAAGTTTTTTATCAAAGAGGAAGAATAACTAGGAAGTTAGTAGTAATAACAACAAAGAGATGCAGAGTATAGTGTAGAGTATAGACATTCCTCAGGAAAGGAATATATGAGTGAGGGAAGGATTGTCTTGAAATAGAATCAGAAAGTGAATAGTCTTGCTACTTGTACCTCGTAGCCTTGTTATTCATTGCCTTTGAGTCAAGCATGACTCATAGCAACCCTATGAACAAAAGGCCTGAAGCCCCTCTACAACTATCAACACTTATCAAAGTTCATTAGAGTTTACTAGTTTCCAAAGGCATGTTTTTAGCCTTAAAGTTTATGAAGTGTTGGAAATGAGTACTTTTCATTGAAGACGTTTCCAGCTGAAGCACTACCCTAAAAGACAAGTCAGATTTTAGTGAAGATGAGAGATGTTGAGAATGAGGACATAGGGAAGCTCTTATTGTGTAGTGGGCATAAGATGAAGATTTTATGAGGGAGGACAGTGATAAGTTGTTGTTGTTGTTGTTGTTGTTGTTGTTGTTGAGTCAGAACCAACATGTAACTAACCCTCCAGTAGGTTTTCAGAAGCAATAAATTGCATGGGAAGAGATTTCCCATTCTTCTCCCGCAGAGCAGCTGGTGAATTTGAACTGTGTGTCTTTAGGATTGTAGTGCAGCTTCTTACCAACAGACCATCAAAGCTCCCTAGACAACGGCAGTAAAGGGGTGAGATGAGACTGTGAGAAAATACATGACTAAAATTACATTGGGATAATATTAGAATTGCAAAAATGATATTATGAAAGGATTATCTGTTGACATTATTCCAGGTGGAACTCTGTAAAATTATCATTATAGATACAGTCTATGTGTAGAGGGGAGAATAAGGAATAGTAAAGGAAATTGGTGAAAATTGGGATATTGTTGTTGTTAGGTGCTGACAAATCAACTACAACTCATAGCAACCCAATGATCCAAACCTGCCCTATCCTGTATTGTCCTCATCATCTCAGATACACTTGAGTCCATTGATGGAGTCACTGTATCAATCTGTCTGGTTGCGAGTTTTCTTCTCTTTTGCTGACCCTTCACCTTTGTAAGTCTGATGTCTTTTTCCATAGACTGGCTTCTCCAAAACAGCATGCCCTAAATATGTGAGAGAAAATTTTACATCCTTTCCTCCAAGGAGCACTTTGGTTTCACTTTCTCCAAGACCTATTTGTTTTTGTTAGTCCATGAGATATTTGACCCTCTTTTTCAATAGCACAACTCAAAGGCATCAGTTCTGTCACCCTTAGTCACTACTTAGTCACAACTTTCAGACACATATCAAGTAATTGAAAAGATTGTGGCCTCAGTCAGGCACACCTTAATCTTCAAAGTGAAGTCATTGCTCTAGTACTCTGGAGAAGTTCTTAACAATATATTTCCCTATTGCAACACATCTTTTAATTTTTTTTTTATTGTATTATTTTTACATGTACCGTCAAATCAGATCTGACTGGTACAGGAGGAGATTGCCCCCTCCTTCTCCAGCAGAGCATCTGGTGGATTTGAACCGCATACTTCTGGGATTGCAGTGCAGCATCTTGCCACTAGGCCACCAGAGCTCCCTTACCTTTTAATTTCTTAAGTGCTGCTACCAACGGTGTTGATTGTTGATGCAACTACGGTGGAATTATTGACAACTACAACCTTTTCTCCAGCTATCATTGTTGCCCAATGTTAAAAACTTTTGTTTTCTAGATGTTGAGATGTAATCCATGTTGAAAGCTATAATGTTTGATATTCTGGAACAAGTGTTTCAAGTTCTCCTCATTTGGAGCAAGCAAGGTTGTATCATCTGCATAACACCAGTTGTGGATGAGTCTTCTTCCTCTAATCCTGATTCCACATTCTTCTTCACAAAATCCAGCTTCTTAAATTATTTCCTCAGTGTACAGATTGAATAGGTATAGAGAAAGGATACAGCCCTGACACACACCTTTCTTGATTTTATGCAGTATTCCCTTTTTTCTGTTCAGACAACAACTTCTTGATCTGGGTCTAGGTCTTGCATGAGCACAATTAAGTATTCTAGAATTCCCGTTCTTCTCAGTGTTAGCAATAATTTGTTATAATCTACACAGTCAAATGCCTTTGCATAGTCAATAAAAAACAGATAGGTGTCCTCCTAGTATTCTCTGTTTTCAACCAAGAGATCCTGGGGAGGGAGGGGAAAAATCCTAGCTCAGGAATCTTTAGAACCCATTCTGTATGGTGGGTATGTGCCTAGGCCTACAGATTTTGAGGCTCCGTCTCACATACTTTGGTCATGTGGCTAGGAGGGACCAGTCCCTGGAGAAGGACAACATTCTTAGAAAGGTGGAGGGATGGGACAGGGGAGAAAGTCCCCAGATGAGATGGACTGACGCAATAACTAGGATAATGGGAGTAGGTGTGTTGGAGACAGTGAGACTGACTCAGAATGAACAGAGCAGAAGGGTCACTGTGAGTTGCAGGAACTTGATAGCAGATAAAAAACAGTCCCCACAGAAAAGAAAACTCAGACTTCAAGCTAGCCTAACAATTGGGGATAGCTCAAGAGGAAGTACAACCAGAGTGCACCTTGGAGGAAAAGATGGTGAAATTCACTTCATAAACTTTGAGCATGTTATTAGGAGAGGCCAGTCCTTGGAAAAAAGACGTCAGTGCTTGGGAAAAGTGGAGGGTCAGTGAAGATGGATAGCAAGACTCAACGAGTTGGATTGACATAGTGACTGTATCAACAGGCTCAAATATATCAGAGATAATGAGGATGGCACAGGGTAAGGCAGTGTTCAGACCTGTTGTTCATAAGGTCAACAGCACAATCTGTGTTTACCTTGGGAAATCCTGGTAACTATGGGACTAGCTTTGATCTCTGTGGAAAAGTTTCCCAACTTAGGAAACTTCCTTAAGTTAACATAAAGTTCTCTTTTGCTCCTTAAAAAAAAAATTCATGTCTTTATCATATATAAAACACATTCACCCCATCACATCATCTTAAAAGTCTTAAATAAAAAACAACTAGGAGATACCATCTCACCCAAGAAACAATAGCAAAGTTCAACAGAGCAGCAAAGAACAGATGTTGGTGAGGCTGTGGAAAGACTGAAACTCTTATTCACTGCTGGAGGGAATATAAATTGATACAACCATATAGAAAGTAGTCTGGCACTTTCTCAGAAAGTTGGAAATAGAAATACCATTTGACCCAGCAATTACACTGCTAGGAATATACCCTAAAGAAACCACAGCCACAATTCAAACAGATGTATGCACATCCATGTTCACATTCATGTTTATTACTGTATTGTTCACAATAGCAAAGAGATAGAAGCACCCATGTGCCTGTCAATAAATTAATGGGTAGAAAAATTATGGTACATCCACATAATGGAACACTATGCAGCACTGATAAACAATGAAATAGTAAAACATTACACTACATCGGGAGCCTTAAGAACATTATGCTAAGTGAAATATCTCAGTCATAAAAGAATAAATATTACATAGCACCACTGTTCTAAAATAGGGCAAATATAGGGGCATTAAGAGAGAATGGAGAGGGGTAGATAGATAATGAATACTGTACTGGAATAGATGAGGGGGAAAACTGTTTGAAAGGAATATATGATTATACATTAAGGGGAGGCATTGTGGAGGGCCTTAAGGGAGGTGGAGGGAAGGCAGGAGAAAATGTGCAATAATGAATAAATTTTAAAAATTAAATACAACCAAGAGAGAACAAAATAGATGAATGGGACCTTCTAAGAATCAAATCCCTAGGCACATCAAAAAATTTCTCCAGCAGGGTAAAAAAAGAAAAGACACACTGGGAAAAAATATTTGGTAATAGCATATCTGATAACGGACTCAATCTCAAATTTATAGATTAGTTCAGCACCTCAACAAAAAAAAGCTAAACAACCCAATCGCAAAATGGACACAGAGGATATAAATAGACACTTCACCAAAGAAGACATTCAGATGGCAAACAAACACATGAAAAAATGTTGAAAATCTCTAGTTATCAGAGAGATGCAAATCAGAACAACTATGAGACATCATCTCACCCTAGCAGCAATAGCAAAGTTAAACAGAGCAGCAAACAATAAATGCTGACAAGGTTGTAGAGAGATTAGAACTCTTATTCACTGCTGGAAATGGAAGTGTAAAATGGTTCAACCACTATGGAATGTGGTTTGGCGCTTTCTCAAAAAGTTGGAAA